AGCTTTGGGAAGGCGCGTTTGCCGCCGGGTGGCGTGTGCGCGCGCCCTCCCAGGCCGCCCTCAAGCACGGGCACTGGCGCTACGTCGGCCCAACAGGAGACGTTCACACCACGCGCGGCTCGGCGGCGGCGGCGGCGGCGGCGGGAGCCGCGGCGGCGGCGGCGGCGGCGGCGGCAGCCGCAAAGTGCCATGCGTGCCAGGGAAGGCACCGCGCGCACACCTGCGGGCGAGCACTAGCGGCGGTCGCCGGCGGGCCCTCTGCGCGCGCCGCCGCTTCGCCGAGCAGCAGTTCTGCGCCGGAGGTTGAGGCAAAGGTTGGGAAGGTGGCGCCGGGGCGGAGTGGTACAGTGCCTCGAGTCTTCGCGGGGAGGGGGCCGAAGCTCTGCGGCACTGGAGGCTGCGTGAGGCCCGACGGGCACGCTGGCTTGTGCGAGGTGGCGGTGCGCGAGCGAGGCTCGCGGCACGCGCCGCTCAAGCGCAAGATCGGCGACGCGAAGTAGAGTGCGCGGTGAGCGGGCGACACCCGTCACCCCCAGCCGTCGGATGAGATCTTCATCGGGCTACAAGCCCTAACCCTGGGGGATGCGCGGTCGCAGGGCCATAACACGGGAGGGAAGGGGTCGCTATGACTCCCCTGCATTCTGCAACAATGGATCTCACAGATAGTTCGGAGGAAACAAGAGTTTTTCTGTTAAGTATTTCGATTTTGTTTTTGAATTTATCGATGACTCTGCAGCCACATCTGTACTTGTGGTTGCACTAACAGAGAATTTTTACAAGAAACCAAGGTGGGACTGGCGCGCACTGGCAAGGTACACTGTATGCTGCAGCCTGCACGCACCTCTCCGCCGAGGCCGAGCTCTGAGTCATCAGATTCTCTCGTAACGAGTCAGCCGACCAAGAGCGGCCGGCGCACATTGCTCGGTACCCCCCCTGCACATCTAAAGCCATCCCTGCTGCTAGGGGGGGGGGGGGGGTCTGACCCTCCCAGCAGCAGAGCGCACGGACCCAGCTCTCCCGCCTCTTCGCCGCCGCCCCCCCCTCCACCCTCGGCTCGTGTCTGAACGGTACGCTCGAGGCGGTTGTGTTCACCGCGCCTTCGAGCCCGGTTGGCAGTAGGAGGGCCCGCCGGTGAGACCACTGATTTTGATGCCGACTATAAATTCTCGCCACTGGAACACATGCTACTTACAGCTGCTGTCTGTACAGAGATGCCAGCACCCCCCACAGGCAGAGCGCTCCTGCTGGGGGGGGGGGGGGGGTCCGGACCCCCCCAGCAGCAAAACGCTGCTGCTGGGGGGGGTGGGGGGGGTCCGGGAACCTCATCCGTAAAAATTGCGTCCCAGGGGCCAGGGGTCTCTTTTTGCTAAAAAGAAAAAGGCCCTTGCTTGTTGAAACCCGGCATGCACAGCAGTGGCCAGTGCGCGCGGCCAGATACGCATGCCTAGAGTAGCCTACCCGCATGCACTGCACACAGCACGATGGACATCAAACATATGATTGTTCCTGTTTCACCCCTTCCGGTTGCCCGCGCAGCAGCTCGACGTTGCGCGAGGAGTACTCTCTGACGTACGGTAGCTCGCGTATAGATGCAGCCTAAATCCCCCCCCCCCTCCCCCCTCGCCGCGCCCGCATCAGCAGAGCCCCCTCCCCTTCCATCGTCCACCTCTAGCACCATGGCGCGAGCGGCAGGTCGAGTGGCTCGCGCTTGTTGTCGCTCGCCACGTCCACGTCGATCACGTGCGACTGCGTGACGTACTCGTTGACGAGCGGCTCAACGTGCCATGAAACGGCCCGCACGGTGAAGACCGAGTAGGGCGAGAAGAGGAACTCGTCCTCACCGCTCACCGTGCCGTCGGTCCGATCGACAAAGTTGGCCTGCATGCACCGCTCGCTCTCGGGAAGGTTGCCGTTGAGGCGGAAGCGCCAGAGCGTCGGCTCCTGCAGCGGAGGCGTCTGGTCGTCCGCTGGCGGCGGCAAGCGCATCAAGAAGTTGCCGGCCACCGTCTCGCGGAACGACGTGGCGACGAACATGGGCGCGCGGTACACCTTGCCGACGGAAAAAAACTCCTTGTAGACCCGCGGCATGGCTGTGCCGCGGTAGGTGACGTGCTCTGACGGCCATCGGACGGGGCTGCCGCGGGAGCGGCACGTGACGCAAAATGCGTTGAGGGCGTGCGTGATGGCGGCGGCGTGGGCGATGGCGGCGGCGTCGTCGCTGCGCAACGCCTCGTTCAAGAGCGAACAGAACTCGCGGCTGCCGAGAAGGTCTGCCGACGTCCAGAGGCGCACGGCGATGAACATGAGCTGTTTTGGCTGCAGGAGCTCGGAGGCGCTGCCCGCGCCCATGGCTGCGGTGAGCGCGTTGGTCCGGATCTGGTTGAAGAAGGTGTCGGCCTCGCTCGCGCTCAAGCCAGCGCGGCGCGCATGCCACGTGATGAGTCCATAGACAGCCCCTTCAAGTTGGAAGTGCATGCGCGGCTTGGTGGCGGGCGCGCTGTAGATGCGGAGAAAGGCCGATGTAGCGAGGGTGCGCGCCGGTGGTGGCAGCAAAAGCGCCGCGCGCATGCAAGCCTCGGGCGCCTCCTCTCCGAGGCTGCACGAAAAGAAAGTGCCCGATTGGCGGTCCTGCATCTCCTCGCGCGACGCCGGAGGCAGCGAGAGCAGCCGGTCGCCAGTGGCGCGGATCGCATCCACGGCCTGCTGAAAGAGCAGCCGGTCGGCTGGAAGCGCGTTGACGCTGGACGTGTGCAGCTCACTTTTGATGGACTCGAGCTTTGGATGCATCTGTGCCACGGTGCAGCAGCGGAAGAGGTCCAGGTCGTGCGCCACCTCGAGCACCCGCGTCATCGCCGAAGCCTGCGACGCAAATGCGCCGCGCAGGGCCTGCAGGGCGTCGTCGCGGTGCGGAAGCTGAATGCTCTTCGCATACGCCGCAAACGCGTCGCACGAGACCTTCTTGTACGCGGTGTGCCGCACGGCGTCCTCGGAGTACGAGAACTCGGACTCGCGGCCGGCGGCGCCAAAAAGCGCCGCAAGCTCGAGGGCGAGGAGCTGAGCCTCACCGAAGGCAAAGTCGGAGCGCTTGAGGCTCGATCCAACGTAGCCGCTCGCGTAGGCCTTGGCGATGGGGCGCACGAGCGCGGCCTTGCGCACAGCGTTTGCAAGGCCGTGGTTCGGGCGAGGCACCCCGTGTGCACTCCCGTGCTCACTAGGCGGCGGGGCATCGGCCGGCAGCGCGGCAGACGGCGGCACGTGCAGCGGGGCGGCGCCGGGGAGGGGGTAGGGAACGTTGAAGTGGTGGCCGAGGAGGTGGTTCGCGGCGGCGAGCAGGGTCTGCCGGCGGGGCGGCGCCTCCTCCTCCTGCTTCTCCACCGGTGGCGCCTTCTCGCTTGCACTCGCACCCAACCCGCCGCCGCCCTCCGCTGCCTCGCCGCCGCCCTCCGCCCCCTCGCCGCCGCCCTCCGACGCCTTCGCCGCCTTCGCCGCCGCCTTCTCCGCCTTCGCCGCCGCCTTGCTGCGCAGCTTGTCGCCGATGCGCTGCGCGAGCTCCGCCTTGCTCCCCTGCTTAGTCACGCCGACCGTCTCGCACAGCCTCTTGAGCTGGGCCACGCTGAGGCCGTCGTTGGCGCGCAGCCGCTTTGCCAACGTCTCCCGGTTGCCCGGTGCTTTCGTGGACACCACGAGCTCGCGTTCATCCGTTCAACAATATTTATTTACCCGCAGTTTGCCTCAAGTGCCAGAGATAGGAAGGGGCAGACGCCCAAGTGGGTGTGGGCGCGAGAGAGACGCGGCTAGGGCTAGCCCTAGTCTGGCCGGTTCTTTTGTCAGATCGACACGAAATAGAATGAGATAGAATGAGATAGCCAGATAGCGCCAGATAGCGCCAGATAGCGCCAGATAGCGCCCCAACCCGCCGCTGCGGCGGGGCGCCCCGCCCCCCTCTCTCGCCGCGCGCCTTTGGCACCGTGCTCTCTCGCCTTACTACGACCACCTAGATGGTGCCGACGGCTGCCTTCCACGCCCGGTGCTCCTCAGTGTTGAGGTCGAAGGTCAGCTTGAAGTCAGTCGGATCGGGCTTGGGGGGGCGGATCTGCTCGTAGCCTGCCTCCTCGCCGCCGAGGCGATCGGCCTCCTCGCAGGTGAGGCAGAGCGCACAGCCTGGTTGCGCATCGAGCCACTCCTTCGACTTGTGCTTGTTGTCAAGCGCCAGCCGCCACCGCTTCTCGAGCGCGATCGCCATCGGGTTGTGGGCTGGCGAGCCCTCCGGTCGGAGGGGTGGAAGTGGGAGGGCTCGAGGACGGACCCCTCTCGCTCCGGGAGGGTGGAGGGGTGGAGGGTGGAGGGGTGGAGGGGTGGTTGAGCCCTCTAGCTCTATCGATATAGCCCTACCCCTCCCGCCGTTTTAGGGCTTGCCCACCCGCTATGATGCCGACTATAAATTCTCGCTACTGGAACGCATGCTACTTACAGCTGCTGTCTGTACAGAGATGCCAGCACCCCCCACAGGCAGAGCGCTCCTGCTGTGGGGGGGGGGGTCCCGACCCCCCCAGCAGCAGAGCGCTGCTGCTGGGGGGGGGGTCGGCCATGAGCTTAGTTGTGCAGGGGGGGTACCGAGCAGCGAGCGGCCGCTCTTGGGGGGGGGGGGGGGGGAATTTTAAACTTAACCCCGCCCTTTATGGGTTTCCAGGGTTTCCAGGGGACACCCTATACGGGTTTTGCAGCCCCTTGGAGGGGGATCAACGGGCCCCCGGGGTTGTGCGTTTTTATATGTGATCAAAGATCCGCAGGTGGGACTGCAGCGAAAAAAAGCAAGTCAGTGGAAAGATAGGCTCCGCCCCGGCGGCCCGCGCGCCGTGCCGGCGAGTCAGGCCCTCAGGCGGTGGGCGTGGCGCATGGTATCTTTTTTCCGTTCTCCTTTCCTCTGGGGCCCAATTGTTTCTTTTTCTCGCGATGTCCGCCCCACTCGCCCGCCTCCTCGACCTCCCCACGGGACCTCGGTCGCTGGTCGGCTCGAGTCGGGCGCGCGCGGCCTCGCGCAGACTCCAGCCCAGTCCGCCTCGGTCAGGGGGGATTTGCCCTCGTCGAGAGGGGCTGCGAGGCCCGCGCAAACGGGTCTGTCACGTCGCTCACGCCGTCGACGAGCCCGAGCTTGGCGTTGACCTGGAAGCAGAGGTAGCGCAGCAGCGCGTGCTCGAGCGCCGCGGCGAGGTGAGGCGCCTCGGACTGCATGTCGCGCAGCCTGCCGCGGGTCAGGGTGAGGAGCGAGGTGCCGCCGCCTCCCGCCTCGGCGCGGAACGAGCGCCGGTTGTGCAGGAAGAAGTCGAGCTCGCCGAAGATGCCGCCGTGCGCGTACCTGGCGATGCGGACCTGCTCCCTGTCGGCGCCTCTCTTGCCGGAGGCTCGCTCCTCCCACAGCTCCACCTGCGGTACGGCGCGCGCGGGGGGGGGGGGGGGGGGGGGGGGTAAAAAAGGCCCCTGGAAAAATTGCCCGAAACTCCTTCTTGTTTGGGCCCCCCTGCCCCTTGGGGAAAAAAAAAAAGGGGGCCCCCTTCTTTCCCGCCGCAAAAAATTCCCCGGCCCGCCCCGGGGTTTTCTTTGGGGAGGGTTCCAAAAACCTTTTGGAAACCTTTTGGAAGGGTTCTGGACCGGGCCTTTTTCCCCGGGTTTTCTTCTTAAAAAAAGGGGGGGGGCCCTCCCAAATGCCGGCGTGGTACGAGTCGACGAGCGGCGCCTGTTCACAGCCAGCCCGCCATGAAGAGGCGCCGCTCACAGCGCGCCGGCGTCGTGCGAGTCGACGGGCGGCGCCAGCACGCGCTGGACAGACCTCGCCAGCCAGCTGCCCCCTCTGCCGACGCTGACTATTCTCTTCCCCCCCGCCAGGCTCGCCGGCGAGGGCGGCCAGGTGCGCCAAGTCGGGCGCGGACTGTGTGGCGGCGCGCGCGACGAAGGGGGACGAGTCGAACTCGCGCGTGCCGATGGGCTGCTTGCGCGTCGCCTAAGGAAGGGCAAGCAGGCTCCGGGAGGATCAGAGCACCAGTGGCCGAGGAGAGGGGCTGCTCTGCGGCCCGACACCTCCTCGAGCAGCTTCTCCTCGCAGTACTCGAGCGCCTCGTCGACGGCGGAAAAGCGGCGCGCCTAGCCGTCGGCCAATCTCGGGGTGGATCTCGGGCCGATCTCGTGTCGATCTCGGGCCGATCTCGTGTCGATCTCGGGTCGATCTCGTCCGCAGCGGAGACGCGGCGCGCCGAGGCGAGCGAAGGCGAGTCAGTGAGGATCCCGTGCCCGGTGAGGAGTTTGGCGATCCGACCGCCGGCCGGGAGGCCGCCGAACACAACCTCGATCCCGAGCGGCGCGAGGGTGCGCGTGAGGTTGAGGAAGCACGCGCGGGCGGCGGTCGCGTCGAGGCCGGTGACGGCGGCGAAGTCGAAGAGGACGAAGCGGGTGGGCGGCGCAGGCTGAGCCGAGGGGCGCTGCTTGGAGGGGGGTCTGCCGAGGGTGGGCTCGAGGTGCGGCGGCACGGAGACGGCGGAGAGGACGTCCTCCATGATGCGGAGAGTCGAGCCGAAGAAGATGTACCCGCGGCAGCGGAGAGAGATGAGTCGGGTCTGCTCGCCGGCGAGGGCGCGCGAGTGCGCAAAGGAGCGCAGCACAGTCGAACGCACGTCGATCCGTCGGACGACGGGCGCGGACGCGTAGTCGATGATGAAGTGGCACATGGCGATGAGCACGCCGCCGCACATGCCAACCTCGAGGCCGAAGCAGTTGATGGCGCCGAAGGTGAGGAGGATGATTGCATACTCGGTCGGGTGCACCTTGTGGCGCGCGGCCCAGAGCCAGTCGACGAGGAGGTCCGCGGCGATGAAGGTGAGGACGGCGCCAAAGAAGAGCTTCGGCACGTACGCACCCACGGTGACCGGCGACGCAAAGAGGAGTAGCTCGGCGGCGATCACCACGGCGCCACAGAGGCGGAGGCGGGTGCCGGTTCGGTAGGTGAAGATCGTGGTCGAGAAGATGTACGAGCCGGTGAAGCCTCCGCAGAGGCCCGAGGCAGCGTTGGAGAGGCCAACCGTGATGAGCTCGTGGTTGAAGTCGAGCTGCTTGCCCATGTCCATCTGGATTGCCGCCACGTCGAGAGAGGACGAGAAGGCGACGACCGTGTACATTGCGAGCCACGTGGGCAGCAGCGAGGGCAGCACGTCCCAGTGCACCAGGGAGGGGCGGAAGGAGGACCAGGTCTCGAGGCACGACGCCGGCTGCTCCGCCTCGGACAGGTAGCCGGCGGCGCGGAGAGCAGGCAAGTCGAGCCCGGCGGCGAAGGCGGCGGCGTAGAAGAGGACGGGGATGGCGAGGAGGAGGGAGGGGAGGACGAGGAAGTGGTGCCACCGCTGGAGGGCGAGGATGATGCCGACGCCGCAGGCAACGCCGGGCAAGCAGGGCAAGATGCCGGCGCCGCCAGCCAGCGACACCATCTGCGCCACCGAGGTGACCTCCGTGCCAGACATGAGGGAGAGGCCTGCCTCGAAGCAGTAGAGGCCGATGTAGGCGAGGTAGCCTCCCACCACCGGAAGGGGGAGGTACTGCACCAGCCCGGCGAGGCGGAGCTTGCCGGTCAGCACGAGGGCGAGGCCGAGCAGGGTGGTGGAGGAGGCGAGCGCGACGAGGGCGGTGGCGATCACCTCGTCGTACGGAGCCTGTGGCGCGGCGGTGCTGTGAAGAGCGCCTCTGTGACAGCGGTGGCGATCACCCCCTCTCGGCTCCTCTCGGCTCCTCTCGGCTCCTCTCGGCTCCTCTCGGCTAACCTCGGGTCGTCTCGGCTAACCTCGGCTCGTCTCGTCTCCGCTACTCTCGCCTGGCGCTTCTCGAGCGCCTCGACGACCTGGTTGGCCATCGAGGAGAGGAAGATGAGGCCCGCGTCCTGCACCTGCCCGACGGCAAAGACGAGCGACGAGGTCGTCACAAAGACGGTCTGATGCACCGCCGACGAAAAGAGGACCAGCTTGACGAGCCGGGCGTAGGTGGCGGCGTCTCGGTGGAAGGTGGGGTGGCGAAAGATGATGGACGCGAACGAGATCATCACCGGCGCGCAGACCACCGCGTTGATGCACCCGTAGATGAGCGCCTTTGTCACCGCGACTGAGCGAGACTCCTCCTCGCCGCCTCCGCCGTCTGCGGATGTGGTGGCGGGCGCCGGCCCGATATGGCCCTCCTCTGCTCGCTCAAGCAGCGGCTGCGCCAGCGCTTTGAGCGGCGGCGGCCGTGGCGAGCCCGGCTTGGAGGAGCCGCCGCCGAGATCTGAGGAGCGCTCAGAGAGGACGGGAGAGCGTCGGCCGTCCGTTGTCCCGAGGACTGGGGATGTGGACCCGAATGGCGCCGGAGCGTCAGCGGACAGTAGCTCTACGATGCCAGAGAGATGAGCGCTCATAGGGGTGTACCCTGGTGTGCCTGTCCTAGCCGGCGCTGTACCCTGGTGGCTGCTAGCGGCGGGCGGGGCACATTGGATTGGAGGGCTCGAGGTTGATAATCCGGTTGCGCCGCCTCTGTCGCCAGGATGCCAGGCAACCGCCGCCGCCGCCGCAGTTTCCGTTGTACGCAAGCCGCACATCGGTTCCCACATGTCCTCCGTCTCTCTCGAGTTGACAGTTGTCCCCCCCCGCCGTGTGCCGTGACTTGTGCCGTGAGTCTGATCGATCTTCACATACATGAAGGCGCTCGCTACACATTCTTTCTCCCATGCTAGCTGGCTGAGCTCAGGGCACGGCACGCACCCACGACGGAGAAGAGACCTCACGCTGCGCTGCCATCCGCGCGGCCGCGGCATTGGGCAGCAGCGATCATGCGCTTCCGTCGCGAGCTGGGAGCCGCGTGCGAGAGCATCCAGGGCTAGATGCCTAAAAGGGCCGACCGACGAGCGGATCCATTGCCGCCTTCAGTGCCGCCATGCCCTCCTCAAAGGGCGCATCTGGCATGCCGTGCCCAAAGAAGAGCTGGGCGATCTCGACCTATGGCAACCGGAATAAACGAGCTGATCCGAAGCTCCCATATGGGAGCCGCAGCCGTTTAGGGGTTAAAGAGAAGAGACGTCTAGTAGTGGTAGTAATGCCGATCAGAACCTTGCCCCCCCTCATCTCCTCCCCACGTTCCCCTCCCTGCCTCAAGCAGTGAGTCGGCCAATCTAAGTCTCTTTTCGGCTCAGTTGCAGTCTCCAGCTGGGCTGGCACCGCTATGAGACCTGGGCAGCGTCATGCACCACGCCTTCCAGCGGCTCGTGAGCTCCGAGAAGATGGCGCCGTTTGCATGCGACACGTCGCGCAACTCCTTGATGTCGGTTTTCAGGTTGAAGAGCTGGTGCGAGCCGGGCGGGTAGCCGCGAAGGTACTTCCAGTCGCCCATGCGGGCGGCGCCCTGCTTCTCGCCCTTCCAGAAGAGGATATCGTGCGGGCTACCGCCGCTGTACCCGCGCACGTAGGGCAGCAAGTCCACCCCGTCGCTGTCGGTCCCGGCCGGCATCCGACCGTGTGCGGCGGCGATGAAGGTCGGCAGAAGGTCGAAGGACATGACCTGCTGGCGGTAGATGCTCCCGGCGGCGATCTCGCCCGGCCAGCGGAGGATGAAGGGGATGCGGCTGCCTCCCTCCCAGAACTGGTTCTTTGAGCCGCTGAATGGGCCAGGGTCGCCCATCATGATGTGGCTGGGCCAGTGCGCCTCCCAGCCGTGCTGCCCGCGCCGGCCAAAGTCGGGGCCGTTATCGGAGAGGAAGGCGATCAGCGTCTTGCCGCCGTCGAGGCCATACTGATCAAGCGTGCTCAGCACGCGTCCGATGCCCTCGTCGATGGCGGCCACCATGCCGGCGTAGATGCGCTTGGGCTCCGGCTGGACGTACGAGTACTGCACGTTGTGTACCTGCTTGGCCTGCCACGGGTCGTGCGGACCATTGTAGGCTAGGTAGAGGAAGAAGTCTTTCCAGCGGTTGCGCTGGATGAACTCGACCGCCTTGCGCGTGAGCCGGTCGGTGAGGTACTCGTCTCCCGGGCGGGCTGGCCCCCAATGCGGAAGCCCCGTCACCGCCATTGGGTTGACCCCGTCCACCCCGACGTAATCCTCCCCCTCGATTGGCCAGTACTCACCCGCCCAGACCATCACGTCGTCCATCTCGTCAAAGACGTGCTCCGCCCGGCGCGGCATGTTCCATTTGCCAACCATGCCCGTGTGGTAGCGCGCGGCGGCCTTGAGCGCTTCTGGCATCGTCTTGTGCTGTCCTGGAATCTGATAGGCGTAGTCGTTATTGCCCTGGTTGCCAAAGCGCTGCTGGTACGCACCCGTCAGCAGCCCACCGCGGCTGGGCCCGCAGACGGGGGCGGTGACGTACCCATCGGTGAATCGCACTCCCTCACTCGCCAGCCTGTCGATGTTGGGAGTGGGGATGGCGCAGCCGTGGTGATATGAGCAGGGGTCGCCGTAGCCCATGTCGTCGACGCTGATGAGAATGATGTTCGGCTTTCCGCGCCAGGGGGGAGGCTTGGGCGCCGGCGGTGGCGAGGGCGGCGGCGGCGGTAGAAACGGCGCTGGCGGCGGCGACGGGGATGGAGGCGGCGGTGGCGACCCGGGCGGCGGGGGCGGGGACGCTGGGGGTGGCGATGGGGAGGGAGGCAGCGGCGGCGAGCCTGGCGGAGGCGGAGGCAGCGGAGGAGAGGGGGGCGGCGAGGGAGAGAAGGGAGGGAACGGGTCCTTACGCGGCGGCGGCGGCGGCGCGGTGCAGGCGTGCACGGTCACCGGCATCGTCTGGCCGGTGCTGCGCAGACTCGAGCAGGTCGACGTGAGGCGGCACCAGCCGCTCGCCCAGAGGGAGAAGAACTCGCAGCCGGCAGTCTCCTCGCAGAGCTTGAGGCAGCCCTGCCTTGGAGCCATGCCGTCGAATATGTTGGTCTCATCAGCGCAGTACATGGGCTCGCCCGACGAGACGGGGAAGACGCAGCCTCTCGGCGTTGGAAGCGGTGGAGGTGGCGGCGGCGGCGGCGGCGGCGGTGGCGCTGGGGGTGGCGTCGGGGTGGGGGGCAGTGGTGGGAGAGAGGGGTGGGGGGGAGGAGGGGATGGACGCGGCGACGGTGCGGGCGGCCCTGCTGGCATCGGTGGCGGCGGCGGCGATGGTGGCGGTGAGGGAGGCAGCGGTGGCGGTTCTGGTGAGCTGGGAGAGGAGGGCGGCGGGGCCGGCGGCAGGTTCGGCGCGGTGCAAGCACTCACGTTGACGCTGGCCTGGTCCCATGTGCCGGTAGGGCGGAGGTTCGAGCAAGTCCGGGTGAGGCGGCACCAGCCGCTGCGTTCCCAAAGCGAGAAGAACCCGCAGCCCGGCGTCCCCTCGCAGAGCTTGAGGCAGCCCTGCGCCGGCTGGTTCCCGTTGTAGAGCGCAGGCTCGTCCGCGCAGTAGCGTGCCCTGCCGGATGACACGGGGTAGACGCAGCCAAGTGGCGGGGGCGGTGTGGGCGAGGGCGGAGGTGCTGGAGGAGGTGCAGGGACTGGAGACGGCGGTGGCGGTGATGGCGGCGGGCGAGGCGGAGATGGAGGCGGCGGAGATGGAGGCGGCGGCGTGGGTGGTGGTGGCGGCGTCGGCGAGGGCGGGGCGGAGGGAGGCAGCAAGGGTGGAGGCAGCGGGAACGGGGGGACAGAAGGGAGCGGTGGCGGCGGTGGAGGCGGCAGTGGGGAAGGGGGCAGCGACGGCGGCGCAGACGGCGGGTCAGACGGCGGCGTAGAGGGTGGCGGCAGGGACGGCGGCATGGCGGCGGCGAGGGTGGCGGCAATGGTAGCGGTGGCGGCATTGGAGATGGCGGGGCCGGCGGCGGTATGCTGCATTCTGAGCAGCCGCTGCAATCTGGCCACGTGCACTTGGTGGACCAAGAAAACTTTAGGGCCATAATGCACGTCTGTCTACAGACTGGCGAGGACGAGGGCGGCAAGAGCAGTGGCGGTATTGGGGATGGCAGAGTCGTGCTGCATTCCGAGCAGCCGCTGCAGCCTACCCAATCGCATTTTGTGGACCAGGGTTCTTGTTCCCAAGGGCAATGCCTGCGACACGGTCTCGACTGCAGTGAACGCACATGGCCATCCTCCCGGGTCGGGTCTGCGGCTGGTACTACGCCTGCCGTCGAGTACACTGGCATAGTCATGAGCAGGCTGAGGACGGCACGGGCGGGGGCACAAAACCGCATCGGCCACCGCCGCAGAGCGCCGCCACAGCGGGGGTGACCGCGACGGCGGTGTCGGCGAGATCCAGACAGCAACGTTCGTGATCCTCTATGTTTTGGATGGATGATATTCATTATCTCTAATGAACCGACGCCATACACATATCGCCGCCGTGCTCCATTGGGAGATACAGGAATCCCGCGACTCGCGACCCCCCCGAATAGGAAGGCGAAACACAGTCCGACCAACGACTGGGACACCAACGCGGTATGGGTGGACGCGGGACGGGCGGTGACGGTCACACAGGAGCGACACACAGAACCACAAGACAAGACACTCAGCCAACGGGGCTGCCCCACACATCCTGAGCGAACTTCCCTAGTCACCCGCGGCCGGAGACTCCATCCGGCTTGAAATCCGGCACGCGTCGGCCGTCGCTGACCCCCCCCTCTTGCAGGGCCGAGGGCGCGCGATCGCTAGCTACGTCCTACGTACGCCACGATCGGTCGGTCGGTTCAGTGCTTGCTCGTCGATCGAGCAGCCGACCTCTTCTTAGACTTTACGGCTAGCCGCTAGCCCCGTGCCCCGACCTCCGTCACAATAAAAAACATTCATTACATTAAACATGCGATGATTGCGACTATACTGCATGGCACATACTGTCGCGACGCGTCACCACGTACAAGTTACTCT